ATATATATATATATATATATATATATATTTTTTTTTTTTCCTGGCATATATATACACATCTTGTCTCTTTCCTTTAGTTCTTTCACCGATATTATTGTCTCTTTTACCCTACTCTTTCACACTCATTCATGTCCCCAAATTCTATGTTTTTGAAGCTCCCATTTCTTTTCATTTAGTGGGGTTCCACCCAAAACCACAAATTCAACTCAAATCAAGTTCAAATCTTTGATTTCTATAAGGGTTTCAAGAAAAAGCTTCATCTTTGTGTTTTCTGTTTGTGGATTTCTCTTTCCTCGATCCGTGTGTTTCAGCTCTGCAAATTTCATAATATGGGTAAGGTAACGGTGGCGGCGGCGGTGGTTTGCGCCGCTGCTGTCTCTGCGGCGGCGGTCTTGGTGGTTCGCCATCGGATGCGGAACTCCGGGAAGTGGGCAAAGGCTATGGAAATACTGAGGGTGTTTGAAGACAAGTGTGGGACTCCGGTAGCCAAGCTCCGGCAAGTTGCCGATGCTATGACCGTCGAGATGCACGCCGGACTTGCCTCCGATGGCGGCAGCAAGCTCAAGATGCTTATCAGCTACGTTGATAACCTCCCTACTGGGTATATACATATACATATATATATATATATATATATATATACATACAATCTGTCATATACGTATATTCATGGAGAATATTCATCACATACTGAATTTTCAAGATTGGGTTTGAATTCATATTGGGTGAAGTTGACTTTTTTCAATTTCGATTTGATTGAATTCAATCAATTTTTCCCTATTTTGAAGAATTTGAGTGTGTTTCAGAACTTCCAAGATTTGGGGGATTGCACTTACTGTTAGATGCAATTAGGGTTCATGATATTAAGGTGTGATTTTCAAGCTTTCTTTAGAATTTAGGTTAATTTTGACTGGCTTTCTTTGAGATCTACTCTTGGTGTAGCGTTTGTAAAAAGCCCCAAGTTGTGTGATGCTTATCTGTGGCAAAAGATGATCAATGGTCTTAATGTACATTTAGTCTCGTGAATAACCGATTCTTGATTTGGGTATTTGAACGAAATGGTCGCCCCCAATGCACCAGGATCACGGACCCTAGGCTTTGCAAGGGTTTGGGCTGCGGTTGATGTCTTGAACCGAAACCAAACAAGCCCGTTATATTCTAGATACAGGTGGGATGTATGCAGATCCGTCCTCTACTATGAGGGTAGTTGTGGGAGAGTAGAACGGTTGTTTTCATTAAGACCCCCCAAACTTATAAAAGCGTGCGAAAAGGTAAACGTGCATAAATTCCCTTGTAATATGCTTAAAGATTGGTTTGGTGACTATCGTCCACAACCTTCGGGTCACGAAAGGTGTATTGAACAAGTTCTTTTCCGTAAAAGATTTCTTGGAATCTTGAAGGATTGATGTTTTTGTTACTAGAGTCCGCCAACACAAGATATCTTGATCGTAAAAGATGTCTAGGAATCTTGAAATAAGAACGTATTGGTTTCTCGTTCTAAAGGTGTCGCTTTTGGAAGTTTGATGGTCTTCGTTTGTTCGTTTATACCCGAACGTAATGAAGTTTGTGCTTGCTTTTAGTTCTAGACTTGCTTTACCCGATTCTAATGGATGCAAGCTTTGCTTTGATATTTATCGAATGGTTCTTCTTCGTTTGCTTTTCGGTGTGAATGTAATCTTGTCTAAACCCGAACACCACTCATTTGTTCCCAATATTCCTTCAGTTTGGTCTGTGAATAGGGAAAACCGAAAAGAATGTATTTCAAGATTTCTTTGTGTTTGATGTATGGTTGATTTGAATAGTAAATGCATCGTGTAGATTATCTAAGAACTGTCGTGATTCGGTTGTTCTTCTAGGGACGAAACTGGAATTTTCTATGCTCTTGATCTCGGGGGTACAAACTTTCGTGTTCTTCGTGTGAAGTTGGGTGGACCGGAAAATGTGAAGAAAGAATTTCAAGAAGTTTCGATTCCTCCGAATCTGATGATTGGGAAATGTGAAGTAAGTATTCTCCATCTCTTTTCTAACGAACGGAGTTTATGACACTGGTTTACAAGATTTAATATGATTATTTTCGTGGTATTTTTCGGGGTTTTTTTTAGGATTTATTTGATTTCATCGCTGGAGAACTTGCGAAATTTGTGGCTACGGAGGGCGAAGAAATGCAAATTCCGGCTGGCACTCAGCGAGAACTCGGGTTTACGTTTTCATTTCCCGTCAAGCAATCATCAATTGCAGGAGGGACTCTGGTTCGATGGACAAAAGGCTTCAACATTGAGGATGCAGTGAGTCTTGAATACGATTCTTTCACTCTTTTACTTTTTTACCCTTTTGTGATATTTACGATATAAACCTTGAGGGCCAGCTCAATCGACAAATCGCCAGTTTGAGTCTCTTTCGGGCCACTTAGAATTCTCCGGGTCCCATGGATTAGTTGAGATGTGCGCATGCTGGCCCGGATAGCTATGAGTACAAAAAAACGACAATAATATCTAAAAATAGAAAGTCACCCACGATTTTGACCAATCAAAACATGATAGTCACTTGGGATCTGCTGCTTACGTTGTCACCGTTCACAAACGAAGATGATTTCTAAAGAACTGAAGACAAATTCTGGTTTTCATGTTTGCATCCATCGTCACCATTAGAGAAAAAACACCAATGAGATTGATTTCAGTCCTCGAGATTTGTAATTGTTGAAGGGTATTTTAGAAATTTCAGTATAGTCACGCGGGCAAGTGTTTCTGTTTACGCAGTTTTATTGGTTTGCTTGATAATAGGTCGGGCAGGATGTCGTGGAGGAGCTGACGAAATCGATGGAAAGGGTTGGCCTTGATATGCGTGTTGCCGCGTTGGTAATTTGATTTTTCTCTTTAGCCCCGTTTGGTAAGCTTTAAGCTAGTTTTTCGAAAAGCTAATTCAGATAGTTTTCCAATAAGCACTAGGTGTTTTTTTTTCTCACTTTTTCCAATTATGCCCCTGATTGTTAGGATCTCGTAAATTTTCGACTTGTCCTGTTAGGTTATTTTACGTCGTCGTCTAGCGTATTAGCTAGTTTTTACCGAACATATTAGTTTATTAGCTAGCAGCTAGTTTTTTAGCTGATGGTTAAGGGGCGTTTGGTTTGCAAGATTCCGATGGAATCTCAAGAAACTGGAATGGTGAATTCCATTGACCAAATTTTGTTCCAGCGTTTGGTTTACGTTCGGTTTACGTTCGGAATGGAATTGAATTTCACACATTCCATCATTCATGGATTTGGTCATTCTACTCATTCCATCACAAAGGAGAAGGAACTGAATTTCATTCCATCCCATTTTCTTATTGAAAAGACAAAATTACCCCAGAGTGAATTTAGACCCTTGATCACTTTTAATCCCAACAAACTCCCATGAATTGCACTTTAGTAGGGAATTGATTTAGTGTATCTCATTAGTGTTGGCCTAGTGCTTCTCTTTGATTAGGATTGATCAAGGGTGGAGATCCCTTCTTATCCTTCTCACCATAACTTTCATTTTCACCAGAACCCAACCCTTATATTTAATATTACATATATAATATATTTATAAATTATATTTTTTATTTATATAAAAATTATTCTTTATATACATATAAATATAATATATATGTATATATATCTGTAATTTACTCTTGATTTAATAATTGGTAATTTACATATTTTTCACATTAAATGTTAGTTTTATTATTGTTCATAATTTAAGAAAAAAACAAATTCAAAAAAGGGTATTTTGGTCATTTTCATTATTGCTTTCCGATTCATAAGCTACATTTCATAAACCACACAAACAAATTCCAATTCATTTGACGGATTACATTCCATTTCATACCAACCAAACACTTGGTCAAACCTAGTACCATTCCATTCAAATTCCTTTTTCAGATTCCAATTCCTCTGACAGATTTCATTCCTACAGAAAACATTCTGCGAACCAAACACCCCCTTCAGCTAGTTTGCCAAACATAGCATTTGTCAATTTCCCGCTCGATCCGCTTACATGAATAATGTTAAAGGATCAAGTCTAGTAAGACTTCAGTATTTGTAATTTCCGTGTTGAAAATGCAGGTGAATGATACGGTCGGAACTTTAGCAGGGGGACGATATAGTAATCCCGATGTACTTGCTGCTGTTATATTAGGTACCGGAACTAATGCTGCATATGTGGAGCGAGCAAACGCGATCCCCAAATGGCAAGGCCTGCTTCCCAAATCGGGAGAGATGGTTAGCGACTTGCATATCGCTCTCAAGTGTGCGTTTGTTTTTCCGGTGGTCTTTTTCTTACCTTTTTTAAAATCCTTTTTAGGTTATAAACATGGAATGGGGCAACTTCCGATCGTCCCATCTTCCGTTGACGGAGTATGACGAAAATCTTGATACCGATAGCTTAAACCCCGGAGAACAGGTACGGATTTCTAGTTGTTATCTTCAGGACCCTATGGGATTAGTTGATGTGCACTCAAGCCTGGTCACGATTAAGGGTGTAAACGAGCCGAGTCGAGTCGACTAGCAGGTTATTTGAGCTTGGCTCGAAAAAATAATGTAAGGCTCTAGCTCGAATACTTTTTCGATGTTTGAGCTCGAACTTGAGATCGATTAACTCGTTTATTTGCTCAAGCTTGATGATTTTTATATTTTGTTTGGTTCAAAAAATGTATGCTCGAATGGCTCGACTTGATTGTAAAGTTTAATCGAGCTTTGAACGTCGAGTCGAACATTGGTGTTGTGGAGCTCTACTCGTTAAGTTAAACGAGCTTTATTTTGTGTTCGAGATCGAAAATTATTAAGCTCAAGCTTGAGTAGCTCGTTAAAAGCTCGACTCGTTTACACCCCTAGTCACTGTTAGCCAAAAAAGAGATCTCTAGTTGTTCGTTGACGGTTTCCTTTTTTACGGTGGTTTGATTTTCGTCTAGAGTCTATAATGTAATCCCTCTCGACAGATATTCGAGAAGATAATTTCTGGCATGTATTTGGGAGAAATCGTGAGGCGGGTCTTGTTGAAAATGGCTGAAGAAGCCGAGTTTTTCGGTGATATCGTACCATCCAAACTGCAAAAGCCGTTCATATTAAGGTACGATATATTTTAGAGTCCATAGTAATTTATTTTGTGTTCGGCCTCTTAATCTTAGCCGGTAGACCCTACTTTTGAGCGGAATGTCCTGGATTCGTTTGATTTGATGAAGTCGGTTTCATATATGATCCCAGTTACATTTTTACATAGATTGGTTCGTATTGATGCAGGACCCCGGATATGTCTGCGATGCACCATGACTCGACCCCCGACCTCAAAGTGGTTGCAGCCAAGTTGAAAGATGTTCTTGAGGTAATAAGGAGTTTTTAGTGTTTGGATGGAAAAAAATAAATACTTATGCCGGTTTGGCACTGGTAATAAGGAGTTTTTGATAAGTCATTCCCTTCTAACTTATTAACTTATTCCGGTATGGTATCGGTAATAAGGAGTTTTTAGTGTTTGGATTGAAAAAAAAAAGAAATACTTATCAGCTTATTACGTTTTGATACCGTCATAAGCTAATCCAAACACTTTTTATAGAACTCTGGTTTGACACCACATAAGTTAATAAGCACTTCTACAACTGAACTCAAATCATTTTGGTTTCAATGAGGTCAGTTTCTTTTTTAAAAATACACACACACACATATATATATATATATATATATATATACACACACATATATATACACATATATATTTATATATGATTTAATTGCAGATATCCAACACTTCTCTAAAGATGAGAAAAGTGATTGTGGAGCTCTGCGATATCGTTGCGACTCGCGGTGCTCGCCTCTCGGCAGCCGGAATCCTCGGAATCCTCCAAAAAATCGGTAGGGATACCGTCAGAGAAGGAGAGGAAAACCAGAAATCCGTGATCGCAATGGACGGCGGGCTGTTCGAACACTACACAAAGTTCCGGGACACGATGCGAAACGCGATGAACGAGCTGTTAGGCGAAGAAGCTTCTAAGAACATGGTGATCGAGCTATCGAACGACGGTTCTGGGCTTGGAGCGGCCCTGCTTGCGGCCTCTCATTCCCAATATCGTGAATACATCGAGTCTTGATGTATCTTTTTTGTACATTTGTCACGTTTTTTTTTCCGCCGGCCAGGGGTTTTTCGAGGACCTTTTTGTCTTTTTGACATTTGTTTGCAAGAGTCCTCCCCATAAGTTATGGGGGCTGCAACATACAAGGGCAGACCCTTGATCTCTTGTATTGTTGTTTTAAGGTTATTGTTATTATCATATCATAGCGAATAAATCAAGACATTGGAAACTCGATATGTCAAAAAGTCGCAGGTTTGAGTCATGGAAACCAAATAAACCCAGTATATTTCACACAGTAGTAGGGTCGATAGACCCAGTATATCCTACACAGTGGTAGGGTCCAATGATATATTTTAGTAAACTTAGTATATCCTATACAGTAGTAGGGTCGAAAGACCAGTATATCCTACACAGTAGTAGGGTCGAAAGTCCCAGTATATCCTACACAGTGGTAGGGTCCAATGATATGTTTTGGTAAACTTCATATATCCCATACAGTAATAGGGTCGAAAGACCAGTATATCCTACATAGTAGTAGGGTTCAATGATATGTTTTAGTAAACTTAGTATATCCTACACGGTAATAGGGTTGAAAGACCAGTATATCCTACACAGTAGTAGGGTCGAAAGACGCAGTATATCCTACAGAGTAGTAGGGTCGAAAGACGCAATATATCCTACACAGTCGTAGGGTCCAATGATATGTTTTAGTAAACTTAGTATATCCCGTACAGTAGTAGGGTCGAAAGTCCCAGTATATCCTACACAGTAGTAGGGTCGAAGACCCAGTATATCCTACACAGTAGTAGGGTCCAATGATATGTTTTGGTAAACTTAGTATATCCCATACAGTAGTAGGTCGAAAGACCCAGTATATCCTACATAGTAGTAGGGTCCAATGATATCTTTTAATAAACTTAGCATATCCCATACAGTAGTAGGGTCAAAAGACCAGGTATATCCTACACAGTAGTAGGGTCGAAAGACCAGTAGTAGGGTCCAATGATATGTTTTGGTGAACTTAGTATATCCCATACAGTAGTAGGGTCGAAAGACACAGTATATCCTACACAGTAGTAAGGTCGAAAGAGCAGTAGTAGGGTCTAATGATATGTTTTGGTGAACTTAGTATATCCCATACAGTAGTAGGGTCGAAAGACACAGTATATCCTACACAGTAGTAGGGTCGAAAGACCAATAGTAGGGTCCAATGATATGTTTTGGTGAACTTAGTATATCTCATACAGTAGTAGGGTCGAAAGACACAGTATATCCTACACAGTAGTAGGGTCCAATGATATGTTATTTGTTCTGTGTTCAATCAAGACTTCGATAAAGAATTACTACCATATTGATATTCTCTTTCTTCCTATTCGGTACAAGTTTGACAACCATTAACTAATTTATTACTTAGTTTATTGAAACCTTTGAGCTAACTTTTTAAAAATGCTATTTCGAATAGCGTTTAAGGGGTCGTTTACCAAACACTTATTAGGTAAGCGCTTATTGGTAAAATTTAACACTACTATTTACTTACCGGACAAGATTTTAGTCCATCAAAACGATATTGTATGCAACAATTTACCCAGTAAGCACTTACCGTAGTAATAGTCGTCTCCCTCACTTACCGGGTAAGACTTTTGGTCCTTGTCTCGCTCTTACCGGGTAAGATTCTTGGGTCGTTATCATATTTGGTAAACGACCCATAAATCAATTTTAGGGGTTTTCCCTTTTTTTCCTTTCAATTATGCTTATTATACTTTTTGAATGTTCTTTTATGTCATTTTATAGTATGATATAACTTTATCAGTTAGTTTTTACAAGTTTAACAGGGTTAGGTTCACGTGAGATCAGACTCTTTTCGTGAGACAACTTTTTTATACTTGAAACTTCACAGCAAAACACTGTGAAGGTAAAAAAACCGAACCTTCACAGAAAAAGCATTATGAAGGTTACTTTCAAAGCGTTTTGCTGTAAAGCTTCAGATGTAAAAAAGTTGTCCCATTTCAAATTCTTGCCAAATGGGTACTTGTGAAATTCATTCTCTTTGTCATCCATAAAACTGAAACAATGGTAACTGCAAATTCTACTACTTATGATCACATGAACTAAAGCTATGAAACTTCAGCAGCATTCATACATTTCTGATAAGAACAGATTATTGGGAATTTGGGAGTACATAATCACATATGAATACATGATTATTCTAAAGATTTATAGAAGATTTTACCGATTCACATGTGCATTTCAAGGCTCGAATTGTTAAGCCTTTCAAGAGCTAAGATCAAAGCTTGGGTTCCCAAATCACCTTCACCATGAGCCTTCAGAGACACATAAAGCTGTTGAGCCAATGCTAAACCTGGCAAAGCAATCCCCATGTTCTGACATTCTCGCAAACAAATCCCTAAATCTTTAACGAAATGATTCACATAAAACCCAGCTTCAAAATCCCTTTTCAAGATCCTTTGACCGTACAAATCTAGGGATTTTGACCCAGCTGCTCCTGTTGAAATTGCATCCAAATAGAGGGATAAATCGAGCCCAGCTTTGTGTGCATAGATCAAACCCTCGATTAATCCAACCATTGTTGAAGCAATTGTGATTTGATTTGCTAATTTTGCGAATTGCCCTTTACCTGGACCACCCATGTAGTTAACTTTCCCCAAAAGGGTGAAAATTGGATTCAATCGTTTCACGGTAGATTCATCACCTCCGGCGAAAATTGATAGCGTGGCGTTACGAGCACCACGGTCTCCGCCGGAAACTGGAGCGTCGATTGAGAAACATGACTTCTCGGCGGCGGAATTGGATATTTCGACGGCTAAGGAGGGTTCGGAAGTGGTCATGTCGATGAGGATTCCGTTAGGGGAGAGACCAGACAGGGCGCCGGAGGTAGGGTGGAGGAGGACATGGCGGACGTCGGAGGGGTAGCCTACGATGGAGAAAACGACGTCGGATTGGGAAGCGACGGCGTGAGGAGAGGAAGCCCAATTTGCTCCGATGTCGAGAAGGGATTGTGCTTTGGATTGGGTACGAGTGAAGATGGTGAGAGTGTAGCCAGCTTTGATTAGGTGAGAGCACATAGATTGGCCCATAACGCCGGTGCCGATCCATCCGAGACGGGTATTTGAAGGAGTGATGATTTCGCCGTTGGCGGCCATGGCGCCGGTGGAGTTGGGGAGGATAGAGGAGTGGAAGTGGTGGACCGAACGGAAGAGTGACTTTATTCTTAACGAAAAGTACAATAAAAACCAATGAACTTTCTTGTTTGGAATGATTAAGTCCTTAAACTTTTTTTTGGAACAAATAAGTCCTTGAACATTTCAAAACATATTAAATAAGTCCTTGGACAATTTTTTGGAACAAATAAGTCTTTGGACATTTCAAAATATGTTAAATAAGTCCTTAAACTTTCCAAAAAATGTTAAATAAGTCATTGGACAATTTTTGGAACAAATAAGTCCTTGGATATTCCAAAAAATGTTAAATAACTCCTTGGACAATTTTTGGAACAAATAAGTCCTTGAACAATCCAAAACATGTTAAATAACTTCTTGAACTTTTATAAAACATGTTGGATACATTTTTATGACTTGTACAACTAGTTAAAGTGGTAAAATAGTGAAAAAAAATCCGGAAAAAACCCAAATGAACATTCATATTTTGAACGATAAAGTGGTAAAATAGTGAAAAAA